ACTACATCCCTGGCGTTCCCAACCGGTGGTACTAGTACCCCATGGCGGGAACAGCAAACACACACGGGGGGGTACCTGCGGAAGCCTATTAGACAATTAAATAAGAAAGTAGTGCTATATAATAATCAGCGGGTGATTCAGCCATCTCTATCGACAGTGCTAACAAGTCGATGGTCTTCGAGTGTGTCACGTTCAAATTCGCACAGTGTTGGTTCTCATTTGTTATGGTGAGGCGAAAGGGTACAGGAGAGCGTAAAAAATTAGGGGTACGGTGGGAGTCCAAGGAAGGTTGCGAAACCGATGCGCCTATTATAGAATAATGTAAGACCATATCTTCGGGCATACACCAACCTTCGACAACATTTAACCTGTTACGATCTCATTTATACTCTTCAAAGCAATTCAAATATCAGTATTCCATAACCTAGCTGCTCTTCACTCATGAATTTAGAATTCTCAATAAATTCCAGTATTACACACACTAATCCGTGCTTCTATGTAAATTATTTTCAGACGGAGTGGCAGATAGTATTTTTCCTGGCTGTCATCGTCACATATAAAAATAAGAAGCAACGTGAGTGTTCACTATCTGCATCTATAATTAAGCAATATATCTGTACAGTAATATGCTTATTTATTTACAAAACAGAAGTACTTTAAAAAAATGGCAAATACTGTGTATGTAAGTCACGTCTGTTTGGTTACCTTAAATATTTGCATTTCTTAACACTATAATATATATTATGGTTATTTTTTTTCTGTAGCAAACTGGATCGCATACATTAGCAACACATGTATGTACAGCAAGGTGGTACATTTGATACTCTTCTTTAGACAAGATCCAAAGTACTCGATCATGTACGGGATAATATGTATCGGTAAGATATCCATTTGATTTTACATGATTCTAAATACCTTATAATTATTCACTTAATCAAGTAATTATTGTGTTTATATAAGCCTTAGTTGCATAACAATAAATATTCTATCATAGCAGAAGTAGATTATAGGGAAGGAGTGTGACTTCAATAAACATGCTCGAGCTACGCTCTTAATATTCAATGTATATAGTGTGATGGGGAGGAAACCCATCACCAGCGTGAAATTCGGGGTCACAGGTCAAAGGGCAGTGGGGGAAAGGTCAGATATCAGACATTTTCTGAGGACATGGTCTAACGGACCAAGTGCAAAACGTTTTGGTTTCAGCGCTGACCTACCGTTTTTATTAGTTTATTGAAAGGACCATGAAATCTACTTTCCGCTGACGTGCGAAGAGTAAGTCTCTGATAATCTTTTGACCCTCACGAGGAGGGTTAAACATAGATTTGTTGACCGTTAACAAAGGCCTGAACTGCTTTTGCTATTAGATCTGTATTGGTAGTATCCTAGATATATGCTCCGAGCGCGAACGCGGTGGCAGGAGGGCGCACTTGATTCGGTTGCCAGTGAGTTTATCAGAAGAATACCTGGCTACAGTACACGTCAGTTGAGCGCTGTCGCTCTGCGGCACTTGTCTTATTATAATAATAATAATGTAATATTCAAGTAGAAATGAGTTAATTAAACATCTAATTAAACAACTAATTAACCGGCTTGCAGATGAACAGCGATGTCGTGCGCGTGCCCGAGGCGCGACCGAGCACGCCACCTAGTGTCAAGCTGTCGAGTCTCTCAGTGCGACGCATCCCGGCGTACTACGGCAACCCCGAGGCCATCTATGGGACAGTTGACAAAGCTCGGTAATTATCCCAGCCGCCGCCGCCGCTGACTAGACACACCCTGTTACTACTAATAACACCAATAATAATAATAATAATAATAATAATAATAATAATAATAATAATGATAAATGGTGAAGGAAAGCGACAAACTCACCAAGTACAAAGATCTGGAGATCGAAATTAGGAGGATGTGGAATACTAAGACGAGAATTGTACCAGTGGTGGTTGGAGCCCTTGGCTCTATCAAGAATGGGTTTGAGAAGAACCTTAAGGAACTCCCTGGCCACCACACTGCCCAACAAGTGCAGAAAATCGCACTACTGGGAACAGCACACATCCTGCGAAAAATTCTTGATTGAATCCCTATGTCTCAGGTTGGGACACGGTCAACCCAGAAGTCACCGGCTAATGCCGTGATCCACTTTGGAAATAATAATAATAATAATAATAATAATAACTATATGAAGAGTAGAACCATTCTACTGGAAACACACGCACACGCATAAACGCAGCGTGCACACGTGTTAACACGATGGCGCATGCACGGACATGAACACATGCACTCACGCACGCACACACACACACACACACACAGTCACACGCGCGCACGCACGGCTAGTCTTTGTGCTTCACTAACCTTACATGATGCCGCCCCCGCACACACATACACACACACACATTACACTACAGTAGTTGTTAGAAAGACAATACCCCCGCCCCCTCACACACACAGACACAGACAAACAAGATTCACATTTAAATGTAAAAAAGTCGAGTAATCCAATTATATGAGTACACTCTACAGACTACAGTACAGAGAGTCGGAGACTACAGACAGTGTAGTCCGTAGCCGGCTCAAGGATAGAGAGCATGTCCCGTGATAAACATCTCTATCCTTGAACCGCTGTAGCCTACCAGTAACAGTATCAGGATCCCTGGCTGGATCCAGAGAGACCGGGTACAAGATTGCGTTGCGCAAAAGATGCGTTGTTCCCCGACCGCCGAGAGCGGTTAAGCCGCGCACTTCCGCGGCAGCTGGGCGCACGCGATCGCGGGGTGTTGTATGTAGCATCTCACGCTGCCCGCTATACGGATTTGTGCGCCGAAGGAGGGCGGGCGCTCGAATCCGCATAGCGGGCAGCGTAACATCGCGCTGTTTTTGTCACACGTACGTACACCGGCTCGGCTACGTCAGCCTTGAGGGGGGGGGCCTTTCCGATTATACTTATAGATTGACCCGCGTTTCGACATCCTCGCCGTCGTCCCGTCACCGGCCGTATTTGCGTACCTTATCTGGCACATATTGTCACCCGCCGTGACTAACAATTGTCACCTAGTCATTTCATGCCCTTTACACGGTCTCCTCACCCTGCGTGTATTCGTTTGCTGTAGTATGCGCTAGATATCAATAAGGTATCTATATACATGCATCAATGCTGCCGCAGCCAGGAACCAGGAGCGCAAGACTAGTGACGAGAGAGAGAGAATGGCATGTCCTTACATCGTTCACCGAGAATGTTATGTTGTTTGCGCCGCTTAAAGATAAGCGGGGCAAACACTCCGCGAGCCGCGAGTCAGGCTGGCAGCCAGGCGCCGCGGCGGCTGCTGGCTCATGTTTTTGCTGGGAGCATCATTATGCGTGCAAGGTTTTCTAGGTTTGCGGTTTTCTAGGTTCACATATTCTAGCCCAACGACGCTGTGCGACTCATTGTCTATACATTGTCTTCTAACCCTCTTTCTCTCTCTCTTCCTCTTTCTCTCTCTCTTTCTCCCACTCCCCACGGTCTCTCTCTCTCTCTCTCGCTCGCTCTTGCGCTGCGTGTCAAAAGTGCGACCGCGTGGCATGCCACCCGCTGCGCAAAAACTATCTCTCGCTCTCTCTCTCCCTCGGGCGCTACGTGTAAAAACTCGCACCGTCGCCACGGGCAGCGCGGGGGTGGAGGGGGGCTGCAATCTCTCGCTCGGCCGTGTTCGTAAAAACGTGTGATTGACGTCATCCCCTAGCGGCCAATGAGCGAGCATGTGGTCGGTGATTGACAGCATCTCTTGGCCTTTCTTGTAGCAGCGACTACGTCTTAACCTTGAGGCGCGCGACCCCCACGAGCAGTTCTCGACCGTTTGGAGATGGCCTCTAGGCGTCGATCACGAAATGTCGCTTGGAAACCGCCCCATTTTCACGGAGTTGCGTTTCAGAGCGAATTCGGTTAATCTGTCTGTCTAAGAGGACAAAAAGGGGCAGCGTATTCATGCTAGAAGCGCGCATTAACCCGGCCGCATGTCCGTCTAGCTGTAGAACTATAGCCCTTTGCTCCGCCACAGGCCTGTGGCACTGCCTGTGGCGGAGCGAAGGGCTATAGTTCTAGAGCTACCCTCGATCAAGAACTGGTTGTAAACTAGGCAGCACAATCCTGCCTTTATTCCTTTGGTCCTCTGGTTTGGGACCATTTCTCACCAGGTCTCATGTTGACCAGGTCTCATTTAGGAGACATGAAAAGCTACAAGGATTTACTTCAGGGTCTTGGCTATTCATATCTATCAAGAAATCCACCAGCTCGATCTCAGATTTGTTATTGCGGAAGGCACTTGTTTCCTAGGCCGTACATCTCTGAGAACTGCTAGGCATACCCTAGCTCTAGAAATATAGCCCTTCGCTTCACTACAGGAAGAGCAAACGGCATGTACTAGCTCTACCTGTGTAGCCCTAGCTTCCCTCCTCAGGGCCGTAGCCTGCGGATTTTGGAGCAAAATTTAAAAAATAAATTGTTCTACTAAAAGAGAATTGTCGTAGTCAGAATGAAGGCTGTACATGTACTCCAAAGTGCCTCAAATACCATCTCCTGCGATCTACATTTTCAAAATTTTCTGTCGGAGGACCCCCAGACCCCCCACCTGTTTCTCACCCCCTCCTTGAAATCCTGGGTCTGCCACTGCCCCCCCCCCTAGGAATTTGCTTAGCCTACTGCCCTGCTCCTGCTACAGGCAGTGAGATCTTCGAGGCTACACGGATGAGGCTAGGCATACACTATATATTCAGTAATGTCACCCAGCACAAGAGTAGGGTGGGTTACTACGGGTGACATAGACCCTCTCAGCAGGAGTGAACGCCCGTGTTGGGATGCTGACGCTGCTGCACACCCAGCAGCTGCTGTTACACACACACACACGTAGTAAACAGTAGTTATTCGTGTGAACGGTCGTGCTTTAATTCGAGAGCGCTATATATATATATATATATATATATATATGTGTGTGTATACGGTTGTATGTATATGTATGTGTAGGGGTGAATAATGACAGAGATAGATATATAATACACATACGTACACGTTTATACACATATTTATTTGTCGAGTAAAGGGAAAAGAGAGATGTGTAAGTCATGTATATATGTTATATGAGATGGAGAGGGATGCGTATTTTGTGAACCTTACGGTGGGATTACAAACTTTTTTACGATAACTTGACGATGTTTTCGAGTATAGTGCCAAAGATTTTCCTGTAATGGTGCCAACTCTCTGTTTACTGATGCAGCAATTCATTATTACATTCTGCTGTTTGTTATTTGGGTAACTTTTTAGCATTATGATTGTATACATTTTTCATGTTAATAAAGTATAATATGTTATATTGCATCTAATTTGCTTATCTATGTAATGTTCACTTGAGCTTCAACATTATCCAAAACATGTCAGTGTACCCATGAAGGACCAGACAAAAATGGTTTAATTTGTTTAATATTAGTAAATTTAGTTAATTGTGTTAAATTAGTTAATTTAGTTAATTGTGTTTGTTTAATATTAGTAAATTGAGATAAACTTACTAAAAATTTAAAGAGATATATTATATGTAGTCGCAATATTCACACTAGGTGGAGCCACGGTCTAACATCTAGAATGGGCATGTTGTGTGTGATTTAGTGAGCCAGTGTTACTGTTAGAGTTGCTGTTAATTTGTAGTTTTACGCGCCTACAACACATTAGGAGTTCATCATGAAATTTAATTTACAGGAGTTGAAACGGCTGCTTACGTTTCATTACGTCGGCAATATATTGCTCGGCGTAATATATTATGTATTGAGATTGACACATCCGACGTGCGTTATCCTGTTCCCACATGCAGAGGAGGAATGCGCTTTGGATTGGGTGAGACTGAGAATGAACAGTCAGTACACTACAGTAGTTGTTAGAAAGACAATACCCCC